AGTCCAGGCCCAGAACAGCCAAAGCCGAGGGCGGGTTTGGATTCCCCTCGCAGCGCACATAGAAAGACCGTTCAGGTAAGTCAATGGTTGTTCTCCTGTGCGCTGCTTGGGGAATCCAAGCATGGGACAAGCCAAAGCAATAAACTTAAGGGCAGGAGCGAGGCTGGTCTGGTGCCGTAGCTGAAGAAGCTACCCTTTGCAGCACGCGCCGTCCAAAGGATGCCTCAGCCGAGGCATAAACGTCCACCTTGTAGTGACGGATAAAGGGTGATGGCGATGACCAGGTCGCTGCGCTGCAGATGTCTTCCACTGAGGCCTGCATTGCCCAGGCCGCTGTCGTGGCCGCACTCCTGGTAGAATGGGGAGTGATACGACTGGGAACTGGTCAGGATTGGCAGTCATAGGCTAGGGCAATACATGCCTTCAACCAGCTACCAATGGTATGCGATGATGCCTTGTGGTGCATGGTAGCAGGTTGGAAGGACACGAACAGGTCCTCTGTCCTTCTGAACGATGCAGTGGGTTTCACATAGCAGCAAAGTAAACGATGAACATCGAGATGATGCCAACGCCGTTCTCGGGGGGTGAGATGGCCGTGGACAGAAATCTGGGAGAGTGATTTCTTGGGATCTGTGGAACCACGAGTTGACTTTCGGAATAAATGTTGGGTGCAAATGTAATATGACCTTGCTCGGAGGGAAGATGCAGAGGTCGTCTCGGATGGAGAGCACCGCCAACTCGGACACACGCTGGGCCGATGTAATGGCTACCAAAAAGACAGTCTTAAGAGTCAGTAACCTGAGGGAGATGGTCCGAATAGGCTCGAATGGAGCCGCTGTAAGGGCATTTAGTACTAGGGAGAGATCCCAGGTGGGATAGCAATGAATAATAGGCGGGCTAAGGTTCGCCTCTCCCTTCAGGAAGGCCCATACCCCCAGGTGTTGAGCTAGGGGTTGACCTTGCCTACCGCCAATTATGGTAGAAACACTGTAAGTTGACGGCGGAGGGTGTTAGGTATTAGTCCTTCAGCTATGCCCATCTGTAGGAAGTCCAATACCTATGGTATGGTTGCCTCGGTTGCATCCTCACCCATTGCCCTGCAGAATGCTC